ATGAACAAACAAACAACAATAAATAAATAAATAAATAGGCATATAGATATATACATATACATACATATACACATATACACACATAGCATATATAAACAAGAAATGCATTTACTTATATATATATATATACGTAGTACGTAGTACATATTAATAATGCTACGTAAATGCACAAGTCGATTATGCGCTGAGCAACGCACGCTTTTGTATACCATTATGTTTTCTATCTATTGCTTTCTTTATTTGCTCATTTCTTCCACTCTTCCTTTCTTTCCTTCTTTCTTTCCGTCTACGAGTCTACTCAGCGTTCCTCCTTTCTTCTCTCCTTCCCTTCATCCTCCGTCCTTGTGCTTTCCTCCCCTTTTCCTTGCGTCCTTCCTTCCATTGCCTTCTTCCGTTGACTCTTCACTTCTCCTTTCTTTATTTCCTTCCTTCCTTCTTTCCCAACAACAAAAGCTGGCCACTAACAACCCACACCAACTTACACTGTGCAAGCAAATTTGGAAGCTTCCACTTTCAACTTCAACCAAAATACCAGCCGATGAGAAACCTTAAAAGTCATTGATATCAAAACAACAAAGGCCTTACCACAAATTTGTACCACAAATCTGTATTGTCCAGTGTCACGCTGCAAATTCAACATTTAAAGAAAACAACCCGGTATGTGGAAGGGCCAGGCTTGTACGCCTTAGTTCACCTGACATCTGATATGACTATTCAATATGCAGTCTGAGCGGATTGGAGCTTTTACTCATGGCCTCCAATACGCCAATGTTCCCTTGGTAAACAATACAAACACCATGCCAATTGGGCCAATTGCACACCAGGAGGTGCCAAGGCCCAAACTGATGCATTATGTTGCAAAACAAATAGGGGCGAAACAGATTTGCGAGTTTCAAGCAAAACAACATCGACAAAGGATCTTTCAAGTTTCAAAACCATGATTGCGTACGCCCAGTAAAACGAATCAGTACTAATGAACATCTAACCCCTGCTTTGCAATGCGTTCCTCTCAAAACTGTTCCTTGCCCAACATGTATACATACATTCTGCATCTGATCTTAACTCCAGCCCTCTCAAACCTTAATTCCCGCCTTCTCTTGCAAATCTCTCTGTGTAATCTGTCTTCTCACATCTTTGCAACTTGTCAGCTATTTTCTTCAAACATCCTTAGCAAATCTATCTTTTCTATAAAGCACATCGTCTCAAGTCCTAATTCCAGAAGTCTTGCTTCGTACATTTACATATGTCCTTCTCAGCGAATGGTTTTCCAAGTCTAAGAGCTCTTATTTCAAAGCACATTCCCGGCAGTCAAAAAGGTTTGCTTTTCAAGTTTTGATCGCCTGGCTCAAGTATTATGGGTTCTAGTTGGATGGCCTTGGTGCCTTGCGCTGCTTGGCCGCCTGCTTGAAACAGAAAATGCAACCTTTTTTGTTGCCATGTCCTTTCCAGCACAGCTTTCAGTGCCGTGCTTGGTTGGGATGCTTATTGGTCTGGTTAGACTCTATTCCAATATGCATATGGCGTATGTACACAGGTACACGTATTCATAACTTATGGACATTGCGCATTTCACTATGTAACTGTTACGTGTTAGTTTAGTCAAGCAAAAATTGAAGTAAAAGAACAACACACAACAATCACTCTGTTGAATTGTGCAACCACAAAGCAAAAACACAACCACAAGAAGGGCCGCAACACACAAGAATTAACACAACTTGCACAAGAAACACAACCTACAACAACCACCTCCATAAATTACAAAAAGTAAAACTTAACAAGACCAATCCAACAAACACACCAGAAGAAACGCTAAAACAAAGAGAGCCAAACAAAATACACAAGAACTTCAACGCATTTCGCCCATACACATCACCACAACATGCAACGAGGATCAGTCAGGACTTTGTCACATATATAACCATAAAGTCGCAATATATATATACATGTATTTCAATCAATATGCAAAAACTCCACAACACACACAAACATATACATATATACATATATCTATATATATATACTTGATATATACATATATATATATACAATTCTCTCTTGGTACTATTCATCGAGCCTTGGGGGAATGATTTATGATTAAAGTGAGATGAACGAACAATTGCTTCATAGTGTCATAGATGTTCACCCTGTACACTTTTTAAAGTCGTTGAAGAGGTGACTTCTGCTTAGGGCCATGGAACGCTGTAACTCCATGGTTCGAAGGACAGAGTGCGCTAAAACAAGGTTTACTGAGGTTCTCACAAGTCATGGAAAATACCTCATACGAGTAGGTTAAGAAAGAACTCTCAGGTCTCGCATAGGACAGGGACCTACATCCCGCACTTTACATGATTACCTTGTTCACCACAGCCAACTGAAATTCTTAGCCCAGTAACTACAAAGGGCACAGCTCCAAGACCTCTAAGTGTAAGAACGGGCAAAACTCCACCAACAGGTTCCTGCCAAACACTCGTGAACAATGGTCGCATCTATGCCCACTTTCAAGCACACGGCTCACAATGAGCGCCCCATCAATTCTAGCTGCCTCGCTCTTAGAGTTGTACCCGCGCGATGCTCGCAGGCTGTACGCCTTGGCACTTGGAACGCCAGTCCATGCACCACAAAATGCACCAAAGACGGCAATCTGCCATTTCCTCAATACCACCAGGGCACCAAACCATTTGGCGTCATGGCTTCCAGTGAGGCTTGACAAATGTTTGTTGCTTTGCTGCATGTTTCAGCTGCTTGTGGCTTGCAACTTGCAACAGTTTCCATGAACATGCACTTAGACAAATTGGTTCAATCAGAATAATCAGGGTTGGAAACAACGACCTGCGTGAAATCATCTACAACTATGCCTGTTGTCGGCACGTTTTGCGCCACCATGGAATTCTGGAACGTCCGCATGGGGACCGGGAGGAAATCAGCGGGATTTTCCTGCAACGGCTGTAGGTCGGAGCAGAACTTTGCGCCTGGAGAGGTTCGAGAGATGGATTCAGTACCGTTACACAAAAAGGGCGCGCTATTTCCCGGCACAAACGAAGGGTTTGCACATTGGAACGTTGATGAAAGTGGTATGCGAAACATTCAGTTGGTTCATTCGGGTGGGTTTTGAGATGCTGTTGAAACGTTGTCCAAATACATTTCCTTTGGTATGATATGACTCTGACTTATAACACCTTGCCTTCATTCAGCAGTTTGCGAGATACCACGTCCAGATGGGGATTGATGGAGAATTGGTTGGCAGGTTGGCGCTTGGTGCTTTTCCCGCTGGAGCGTTTAAATCTCTGCATGTTCGTTCCTGGTCTCTTTCGTGGCACAAAAACCAAAAGAGCTTGAAAGGGGTAGTTGGGCATTTGCTACCAAACATTTCTGGCTGTGCAGGCGCTGTCTGAGGGAACCCTTTGAAAAACACTAGCGTTTTCCCTGCTGTCTTCTTTGCGGCTTGCTGTGGGCTACAAGTGGTGGATAAGCATCAGTTATAATGTCCAAAAACGATTGTAAACCATAGAACGCTGGTAACGTCATCGCGGTTTCACAAGAACTAAATCAAACCATTCAAATGATAATGTCTCGGCTGATGCAGCATGTTTCGTTTGTCTTTTTATTGGCTGCCCTACGATCCTGGTCAGAGGCGGGGCTTGGGCCTTACGGTTGACCTTGCAGGAGGGCTTTTGGCTTCCATGGCCTGAAAATGGCAAGTGTTGAGCCTCTTTCTCTTGGCTAGGCCGGACACACCCCAGTGAGACTCACGGTGAGTGAGCTTGGTTTGAACCTTTTCTTTCATCGTGCTTCTCGTTCCGAGTCGCTCGGCCCGTAAGGCTTACAACAAATTGTTTTGGCAGGCTCTTGGTTTTGCTCGTTTACCAAGTCCGTTGTGACAAATTCATCTATCTTCGCAGCCCACCTTTTCCAAATCCATTGTCACCTCCTATCTTCGGAACCCGCCGTTCCAAAATCCGTTGTCAGTTGTCACCTCCTATTTTCGCAACCCGCCTTTTCCCAAGTCCGTTGTCCCAAGTTCAGCTCCTATCTTCGCAGCCGCCTTATCCCAAGTTTGTTAATTATCCTCCAATTTCTGCAGCCCGCCTTTTCCCAAGTCCGTTGTCCGAAAATACCCTCCTATCTTCGCAGTCCGCCTTCTCCCAAGTCCATTGTACCACCTCCTATCTTCGCACCTCTCCTTTTCCCAACTCTGTTGTCCCAAATTGTATTCCTATCTTCAACCCGAATGTTCCCAAGTCCGCTGTCCCAAATTCACCTGCTATCTTCGCAGTCCGCCCTGTCCCAAGTCCGTAGTGCATCGGTGTCCCAAATTCACCTCCAATCTTCGCAGTCTGCCTCTTCCCAAGTCCCATTGTTCCAATATCACCTCCATCCTATCTTCGCAGCCGGCTCTGTCCCAAGTCCGTTGTTTTGATTTCAAGTCCTATCTTAGCAGTCCGCCTTTTCCCAAGTCCATTGTCCCAATATCACCTGCTATCTTTGCAGCCAGCCTTTTTGCAAGTTCACTGTGGAAATTCACCTCCCATCTTCGCAGCCCGCCCTGTCCCAAGTCGGTTGTTTTGATCTCACCTCCCGTGTTTGCAGCCCAGCCCAAGTATCCATCACTGCGCACATTTGCACACTCCTTTTAAGGTGACGTGACAGTTCTTTGGCATTACAGTGAGGCCCTCAAATGTATCGTTTTTTACCAGGGGCCTCACGAACCATCAAAAATATGAATAGCATGGTTTTGTATGTGAAAACATGTATGAACTTGAGGGCCACTGGTAAGGCCCTTTTCAATTTACTAGGTTTTTGTAGTGCTTTTTTGGTCGTCATGAGACTCATCCAATTCGCTTCTGAAACTCGGTTGAGCCGAGGACGTCTAATTTGTCCGCAAGTTCAGGTTTCGTTTCTACAAAAGCCCGCCCTCGCTGTCCACACGAAGGCCAACGCGACGCTGCTTCCCACGTCCTGGCCTGACCAGAACTGGATCCCAAAACGTGGCTTTGTTTTTTCTTTCGCGTGCCACAAGCTCGCACAAAGAGCACCCCCAAGGCGCACAATATGCGCCGATTCGGCAGAACGACAATAAATTTTGAATCCTACTTTGAATATCCAAGGGTCTTTGGCTTGGAAGGGGCAAAGCTACTCCAACAATGGTTCCAATTTCAGTCTATTCTTAAGTTCGCCTGAAAACACGTGTGCATTCTAGCTCTGTTCCATCACTTCTGGTTCGCACCACCCGTCTTGAAAATGAGCTTCGGTCATTGTTAACCACCAACCTCAGCAGGATACCAAAAAGGGAACACACACAGAAAGTGCCGAAGTCTTGTTGACTTATAGGGAAAGGAGAAACCTCCAAGAACACTCCAGAACAAGCTGCAAATTGACAAAGCATGAAAACGTCTAAATCTATACCCCTTTGCTATCTTTGACCTCCTTCTATGACTCTATACTCTGAGCATTGAGCAAGAACTTGCCAACTCTTTCAACTGTTGAGCCAAGAGCGAAACGTATCGCACAGGCTGCCTTCTCCAGGTGGAAATTCCGTGACCATCTCCTGCCCCGCTCGATCGCTCGTTCGCAGGTTCAATCTGATGAATGCGCTGGAAAAAAGTTCTATACTTTCAGATTTGGCAGAAGTCCAGCTCATTTTGCGTGCACTTTGACAGCCGCAGTCGCCTTGGCTGGCTAACATTGAAACACGTAGCAGTTTGACTCTCATGGGCGCATCGGACCACTCTGGCCCACATGTCATCAAAATGAGGCCCCAAACAAACTAAATGTGACCCAGGTGCATCTCACCCTTCATGCGACCTGCTGGAGGAACGGGCTTCCGAACCCAAGCGCCGTCGACAGGCAGCACGTCTTCGACCGTCACAAGGTTCTTCACTATAAAGGTGACATGGCTGATGGATTTTGAAATCACCAACACTGACCTGGACTTGCGAGATCATGTTTCAACACGAACGCCCACACTTGGGTGCTCTTGGAAGTGTGCCGGCATTATTTGCTGCAAGTGCTGATCCAAGTGCACCAACGTCTCGTTTCCGTCTGTCTACATGTGGTCGTGTGAATGGTTTTGGACATGTGGAGTGACCACAAAGAGTGTATAACTGGGGCGGCAGAGTTAATGAGCAATTCTTTGATGATACGTGGGAAGTGGTCATCGGGATCTGAACTCATTTCTGTTTTGTTCTACCTTGCGTTGGGAAGACACTTCTGCGGAGTAAATGTTGCGCGTCAGCATCGATGACTGCCGTGGTTGCACCAAAAGGTCCAAACACTTCACCCGACGCACGGCCTGAGAAGCGTCAACGTTGACTTTGAACTACCCTAGCCTTCAGTGGAGCAAGTGTGTATCAGTTGGGGATGGAAGTATGACCAGTTATGGTCCGTGCCAGCAACAACGTGGCGATGAGTTCAATTGAAAGGCCAGTAAGGCTAAAGTTTTACAAACAGCCCTGACAAACGGACATAAAAGTGCAGGTCGAAACTGTTGAGCCTCACTGTGTTCAATCGGTTGTGTATAATACACTTATATTGACAACATATTCTATTTATACAACAAATTCTGGGGTTTCTAACCAGGAGGAGGGGCAAAGGAATATTCTCAGCCTGCAGTCTGTGACTTTGTGAAATGGTTTCCTTGTGTCTGCGTCAGCGCCTTGTTATAAATTAAGTATCACAGCGAACACAAAAAACAACTCTGATGGAGCGTTGTGGGAACAATTCCGGGGGACGAAACCGGTGTGTTGTTTACAGAGTTGGCCATGCGGTTTTGAGATGGCACGGTCCACCAACGCACGCACAGGTGAAAAGGCACCAGACGGTGAACATCAGGCATGCTTACTGAAAAGTCTGGTCGCGTGAGAATGAAACCTGCCGATGAATCTAAAGTGCGGGGTGAGGGGTGCGCTTTTGGGCACAGGCGTGGGGCTGAACAATACAACAATGGGACAGTTATGCACATACTGAAATGCTACTGTGGCACGTTTTGGCATCAGCTGCTTTCCGAATCACATAGTTGACCCCCATGTCCTTCAGCTGCACTTGGCAAATCTGACCTAGCCTTTCATCAAACACAGTCCTTAAGAATATTTTCGTACTTTTCGCTGCAGCTTTTGTCCAAAGTCCATGTTCCACACCAATTTGGCTGCTCTTCTCTGGGCGCGGGCACGGGGCCCTCAGCCTTAGCAAATAAATGAGTTTATAGTTGTCGGACCGCCGAAAATGTTTGCCAACTTTGCGCATGCTGGGCGCACTGTCACTAACTGATTGGCCGGCCTCATTCTGTTCAGGCGCGCTGTGCGGCTGATCAGCCTTCACCAAGTCTTCTACCTTGGTTTTCGAGGCAAGTAAATGCTAAATTTCACAACCTATGGGTTATAATGGCTGGAAACATTTCGAAAAAAAATTGTAAGTTTTTGGAAAGATGCGGAGGTGGGAAGACTTGCAAAATCAAGTAACCCCAAGTTGGCAGCGGATCATTAGCAAACTCTTTTTCAAGCATCTCTTCGTACTGCTGGTGTGTTCACAGCAAATGTCTGTGACATGCTTCTGTCTGCATGTTGGAACTGGATTGAAACCGGCTTGAGGCAATTCAGATCACAACAGTGAACATATCAAACCAAATACTTTATTCAAACAAATGAAGAGGTGAAGTCCGAAAACCATATACTTGGGAATTTTTCATTACCAAAAACTTCACTTCGGCCAGCGCTGATCTGTACTTTTCAAAAAATAAGGGGGGACCAAGTTTCCGGGACCTGTAGTGTTGGAAAACAGTTATATTTTCCAAAAAATATAACTGGAGACCAAGTTTCCGGGACCTGTAATGTTAGAAAAAAATATATTTGCTTAAAAAAAAGTAACTGGGGACCAAGGTTCCGGGACCGGTTCCAAAACTTATAATTTTGAAAAAAATATCTATTTTTCAATAAAATATAGCTGGGGACCAAGGTTCCGGGACCGGTTCCAGAACTTATATTAATTTTGAAAAAATATGATTTGTTCAAAAAAGTATAACTGCAGACCAAGGTTCCGGGACCGGTTCCAGAACTTTTTTAAAAAATATAACTGGGGACTAAGGTTCCGGGACCGGTTCCAGAACTTATAATATTGAAAAAAAATTATGATATTTTTTCAAAAATATTATAACTGGGGACCAAGGTTCCGGGACCGGTTCCAGAACTTATAATTTTGAAAAAATATGATAATTTTTCAAAAATATTATAACTTATAATCACATTTTGCATTAAGCTTTCTTATTAAAAATGGCTCAAATCGCTCAAAAAAAGCTGCGCAGCTTAATGCAAAAAACAGTGTTTGCATTAAGCTGCGC